TTTGGTAAATTTGAGCTGAGTCTTTGTGATGGTGCAGCACTCTGGGAGGGAGAGGGTGGCAGATGAGATTCTACTGACTTGACATTTAGCAGACTGCTGGAGAACAGGAAAAGAGGAAGAAAAGGGAATGAGTCTGTCTGACTTCACAGCTATTACAGAAAGATACATAGGAGATACCAGGCACCCAACATCATTGGCTGTTCACAGCATCCTGGAATACAAAATTTGACAGCTTTGCTACTGATGTTGCGACCAAAATAACGAACAGCTTTTAAAGGCAAGTTTCAGTGCAGAGACTTTGCCTTCAGGACTGTGAAAATGGAAAAAGAGAAAGTCTTAATAGCAACTGATTCTCAGGAATGACCAGAGTACTTGGAGTTAGTGTTATTGCTTTTTCTGTAACAGTCCCAAGGTAAATCTTTGGTTCTGCAAAATGATTTTGAAAATGTGTGCTCAGATTAAACAGACACCATTAACTGCAGGTGTTATTGAAAAACATGTTATATAAAAGTGATACCTGTCCTCAGCGCAGAATATCAGAAATAACCATGTGAAGCGGAAGATGCTGATGAAGCGGGACTGGTGTATGCAGAAGCCCATCAAAACATCTTACAGAGGAAAAAATAAATCAGTTAGCTAAAAAAACCCTCCAAAACTACTAGCTTGTAAACCAGACTTTTGAAAGACACTACCCTACAGTTTATGACCAACCCCTGGCTCAGGCTCAAGTGAACGTTGTCTGTCTAAACATTAGTTGAAAAGTCACTCTGTGACACTGACTTCAGCGTGTGTTTCCTGCATGAACAACAGAATTGGGATGGGAGGATAAATAGGTGTCTCCATCAAAAACAGGGAACTTAAAGAAACATAAAGGAGCAGCTAAGAGAGATAAATGCCTGTAGACAGCATACTAAGTACATTGGGAAAATATCCCCCACCCCCTCCAAAAAAAAAGGAAAAAAGAAAATCCTAACCCCTACACACCTAAAAAAGCTGATGCAATGAATAAAGGAGACTAACATAAGTAAAAAGAGTTTGGGGGTACAACTTGTTGGGAGACACAAAGTCATTTTGCTCAATTATTTTGTGAGGGTTCTAACTAAAACAGAGCAAAATGAAATAAAAAATGCAGAAAACTTCCCTAGGAAAAAATAGAATAAATTGATAGCTTAATGGGAAAATTAAAAGTCTCCGGAGAGGCAATAAAGCAGAGGAATCCACCATGTCTTCGAGAGCACAGCTCACTACCGTCACTTTCTGCAAAAGGCAGCACCAGCCCGAGAACCAGCTGCTATGAGAGCAGCAAGTGAAAGAGCTCTCCAAGCAAAAACCAGCAAACAGGCAAAAAACTCCCAGTTAGCCACTTGGGCAAGGCGATAGGGATGTGCCTGTACGCGTCGAGGTGGACACGGGCAGCAGAGAGCTCTGCAGCCCGGGCGCGTTGGGGAGCTCAACTCTGAGAGCAGGGACCGTGCGCGTTCTGGGGGGAGCAGAGGCCGTCCATCTGGCCCGGTGGGAGATGCACCAGGGACCTCTGTGCCAAGAGAGCTCCGTCTGCACCACAACCTCTGGGAAAAGCCTTCCCTTCGTAGTCCTTTCAGTTTCAGTTACTCTTGCCAGCAGTCTAAACCACTGCAATTCTGCTCCTGTATAATCACATACAAACTTTTTTTAGTTAACTGAAGCCACCACCAGAAATAAAGGCTGGTAAAGCTAAAGACAAGGCTGGGTGTTTTCTGCTGAAGAAACACCTATTTATAGTCAAAATTTCAAGGAAAGACCTCCTCAAACCACAAAACATGCATGTTAAAGAAGGGGAGGAGGGGAGAAAGGAAGGAAAAATGAAAAACTGAACGAGAAAAACTGCCCTTGCACTTCTGTCACTTTGTGGGGAAATCCTGGTCTCTTCCACTTCACCACCACAGTCACCTGCCCAATGCCCCAGTGCCTTCCCCCAGCCCAAGGAGAAGCAATTCCTGTGTGGCAGCTCCAGCAGAAGCTGTGCCCAGGGAACGATGCGCGGTCCTGCCCGGGGACACGCATCCCTGGATGCTCAGAGCTGCTGCACTCGGGGCACAGCCCGTGCTGGGGACCCCTCTCTGCCACCGCTTACGGCACTCAGCGTAACTTCAGGTATGTCCAGTTTACTTGGAACAGGCCACAGTTCAGCAGCCAAGAGGTGAAAACGCTACACGGCCACACAGGCCTCCTCTCCTCCGGATGCGACTCTCCCTCTCCAAGTCACACTGCGCGCAGTAATTCCCACACCGCAGAGCCAAGTCACTCAAAGGGAGATGAAGAGAACTACAGAAGTCTCTAAATACATCTCTCACACTGCAAGAAAGAAATTAGGGAAAGGTGAGATGACTCTTTAGTCCCTTCAGTGCTTATTTCTTGGCGTGGGTGCAGCGGGGCAGTTGTGTTCAGCACTCCTGCGCCCGGCCTGCTAGAGGTTCCACGGCTTACACTGCTCCCAAAGTACTGAAGATCTCGACACCGGTAGCTGAGGTTACTCTACCTATTTTAAAGACTTTTTCTTTGAACTTTGTGCTGTCTTGATCAAAATAACCACAAGATCTTCAAACAACAAACCTGCCACAATGGAAAAAAAAAAAAAAAAAAACACCTCTACACCTTATGCTTAGAACAGCATGCATCTTTGCATTGAATGCATGTATTTCACTGAATATTTGACAGCTGTCAAGGACATTCTCAGGCTGATTTAAATTCAGATATTGAGTAAGCTTGCCTGAGACAAATCTGTTCAGGAAACATAACTGTCCCATTACATTGCTCAACTTAAACCCCAAGTTTAAACCACTGCTAAGTGGTTTAGTTCAGCCACAACCTCTAAACATAAATGTCAAGACAGAGGAGAGGTAAACAATAGCCAAACAGTAATTCGACTGTTGTACATCTTATATATTCCCAGCATATACTACTGAAAAAAAAAAAAAGGGACATTTATTGATGTGTTTCAAAGCTAGAAGTGTATTGCATCATCTAAAAAAAGAAATTGTGCTGCTATCGAAAAATCTATCTTGATTCTTGGGGAGAGAGCAGAAAGATGCACAGAATCCTGTTATGGAGATGTAGGAATCCAACAAACTCGATCTCTTAATTTAAACTCAAGTGTGAACTTCTCAGCCCCAGCTCACATTCCTGTTGTGATCTGGGGGAAGTGACAGCTCCACAGATGCTATTAAAATAAATCTTCAGTCTTCACACTCCCTCTCTTCTAAGCCAACGCACCATTTGTAGAATTTATTGGACACAGAACAGGGGGAGCATATTTTTCCGTAGGCTGGTCCAACATGAGCACAGTCCATATCAACATTGCCACAAGTCAGATCGGGGCGTCTTCAGCTCTGGCTGACACAGACAGTACTTTGGAGCAGATGAGCAGTCCAGACTGGGGCTTCTTTGCTGGAAATGGACGCCCTCTCCTCAGGAGCAGGGCAGGCTAAAACCCGTACACTCTGCACATCCCCTGCTCTCCAATATACAGTAATAGTTCACAGACATTGCTTTTAAAGCCACTTTCATGCTACCAGAAAGAGATTCAAGACTTTACATCCATCTACTATTTAAACATCAGTCTTCTCCGTCTTTGGACAGGGTAACTCTTTTGGAGGACGACATCAGAAAGGAAGATATTCCAAAGGAGTAACCTTTTGGAAAAAGTTCTTACTGATAAATAAATGATGCACATCACATTTTTTATACATCCCTGATACTTTTAGCTGAAAGTTTCATGTGTTTTTCTTTTTCATTATTAAATAGTTTCACAGAAATTCAGGCAACTCTTCAGGCTCCTAAGAAAGAGCTTCTGCCTGGAGAGGTTTCTGTGCTCCTTTTAAACAGTAAACAGTTACACTGCACTTAAAAATAAAAATATCATACAAAAAATAAAATTTGTTGAAATCTTGAAAGTAGTGATTGTTCTTCATATTTTCCATTCAGCTTTCACGTCAAATTGACCACAAAGTTCTTGTCTATAAGGTTCTTCAAAAATTTCTGTTCAGCATCAATGTTATGGTATTCATTCTGAAGAAATATAAGAAAATAATAAAAGTTAAATTCAAATTACTACCAGAAGCATTACTTTTTTGTTTGCCTTCCAATTTCCTGTGTTAAGTGGCGGATATAAGGGTGGGAAGACTGAGGAAGGGACTTGTAAGCATGGGCTGCAGTACAGTCTCCCAGGGAACTCGGTGCCACTGTTGCTCAAAGCCAGACTAGACTGTAAGGAAGAGGACAGTCCCTCAGGGGCAGGAAGGGAGGAGACGTGTTCTCACAGAAGGGGCTTCATTAGTAAAGCTCCCAACTCGTAGCTGTGCTGACAGAAAGCAGCTGCATCACCACATTTACAATGCCAGGAGTCAGAAAATGACCAATCCTCAAAGCTCCTTCCAGGTTTTGGAAGAGCACACAGCAGACATTTGTAAAGCAGATGTGCTTCGCCACACAGCTTCTGTGCACTAGGTCAAGACCAACCCATCTTCCACGGTCCCTCACATAAGATCCTAGATAGAGGACGCCACTGAAGTAAATGGATTTCCCCCAAGACAGGAAGAACGTGTCTACCAAAAACCCACGTAAAAGGTCCTGCCTCAAGGGAGCGAACTGAAAATCTCTATACACAGAATCCAACAAATTAAAATGAATGCAATACCAGTATTGCCTAAAACGCTACAAACAATTTATAAGACACGATAATACTAATTAGTTTATTACCTTTGGGGAGGTTAGCTTAAGTTTTAAGATTTTATGTCTTTTAGGAAGACACAACAGATGTTTCGCCAACCAGTGATCAACCTTATTGAAGCTTTGGACAGACTGCACAAAAGCGCTTGCCGGGAGGAACCTCAGCATGCATAGCTGAGGTTCAGTGCTGGAGGAAAGCTGTCTGGGAGCAGATGACATTAGGATTCATCAGCAACACATGAGGGGCTCCTATGGACATTGCACCTCTCCATCCTCTGCGGGAAAGGCAGGAGAAAGAAAACAGCCTCAGAAGGACCCAACACACCGCACTGAAGCTCTGAGTGCATGGAAGAGAAAACTGCTCACGCTGAGGTGAAAGGCCCAGAGTACAGAGGCTAGGAGTACAGAACTGAAGGCAAGAGCAGAGAAAAAAACTGTAGGGAAGCAGGAGCCCTTTGCCCAGGGTTAGGAGAAGACCTGCTGCAGCTCCCTCCCTGCCTGAGCTGTGGCTTCCTCCTCCTGGAACCTATCTTTTCCTCTGTTTCTACCAAAACCACACTCAAAGAGCTGCTTTTCTTTTCTCCTTTCCATTTCTGAAGTTCAGCTCTTGTCCTAACTGCAAGTTTGTGGGTCTTCTTTCTTTCCTCTTAGCTCTTTTTTCATGAAATTTGGCAGCTATGAATACTTTTGCACAGCTGCCAATGAAAATGCAAATATGGACACTGCTTATTTGTGTTCTGACAATGCTAGCAAATACACTTACATAAAAAGAGCCACATAGCTTAAAAAATCAGTAATGCAAAACAGAATAGATAAATGGACAAAAGTAATGTAGATGCTATAGAATAAGGTGTAGCACTTAATATTCAAATCAACTCAGTAGCCTCTCCATAACTGACCAAAACGAATGTTTGTGTTAAACACATTTTTTAAAAAATAAAGAGAAGAAGAAACTCAAGCAATATTAACACATGAGCAGTAAACCCAAGAAGACCACAGAGCTTTCTAACCTGCAGACCACGTTTTTTCTTCTAAATGCATTACCTTACAGCTAACAGCTATATATTCCTAAGCAGGCCCCTCCAGGTGAACAAATGCCCCTTACCTGCATCATCTGAGACATGGTGTCATTGCCATAGTAGTGCAAAGAGCTGTTTCTGTCGGTGAAGTCATACTTGAAGCCTGCCAGGTGAACTTCATGGCATATGTGAAAGGCGAGCGTGATGGCGATCAGACCCGTTGTCGGATGCTTGGGTTTCTACGAGGAAAGCACAGGAACACACACACACATATAAATAACTGCCACCATGGCAGAGAGGGCAAACCCAAGAGCAAGGGCAGGGGCACTCGTGCAGCCTAGCTCCCCTAGGACACATGGCTTTCACGCTGCATCGCTTGGGGCTCATAGAAAAGCCGCCTGTGGCTTCTCCACAGCCAGGGCGCCTGCAGTGTTGGCCTCCCCTGGGACTGTCTTTGTAATAATTGCTGAGCCCCTACTCAAAACTTTCCCTCAGCTGAGGTCTCTCAGGCTTAGCAACCTCCCTCCACGAGACTTCAGTCAGACTTCTGTACATTGGAGACAGTTTCTCCTCTGTGAGATCTAGCTGAGTTAGCAGACGGGTTCAGCAGTTTCTAGGTGATGGAGACAGATCAACTGAACAACATGACATGTCTCATTTCTTTATGAAACCAGACTAAAAGCCATTAGTGTACTGCTGCTCACTTGCCTATATTTGAGCTTTTTCCGAGCAGGGAAATTCCAAGAATTCCCTGAAAGAATAAACTTTCCCCCACTATTTTCACTAGAAAAAATGAAACTACAGATAAAACCACTCATTTCTCTATACAGCAAGTTAGTTCATAAGTAAATGCAAAGTAAGATATCAAGAACAGGTCATAAACCAAACTGTGCAAAACTGAGAGCGTCTAAGTGAAAATCAGTATTTCTTTTAAGAGCAAACAACTGCAACAACTGCAATCATCTGTCCTACCTAGTGATCAAACACGTTGTTTTAACAGCAGCTAAAATGAGGTGAAGTCTGTAAGACGACATGATCTCTTTCATTAGACCAACTGATTAAATTGAGGGGGAAAAAAAAAACTTGCAGAAACAGACAAATTTTCCAGACATATACACTCTTCATTGCTAAAATAATCATTTCATCAGAGATCAAAGAAGCCAAACATTTCTAGTATTTAGAGTTAAGCCTCAAAACTATGCAAACAATCATGTGCTTTTGGGGGATTTTTTACTCAAGTGCCTAGTTACTTGCTTCCGAAAACAGACAGGGCAGAACAGTACTGGACCATTCTGCACATGCAGGAAGATGAGCTTGATGATGCAAAAAGGTATCTCTTTATATCATATGACAAACCAACAATCACCCAGGAAAGGAAAAAGTTATTAATAACAGCTCTGTCAGTTTTTAGGTGGATTTTTTTTTGACATTTTTACATCTTCCAGAGTACTCAGAAACACCGATGTAAAATGTACATAGTTGCCCGAGGGCTCTGCTGATTAGTAAAATAACTTTCTGCCTCTGAAGACCAACATCATAAACTTAGTTATGCACCTGTCACAATGTCTATACTAGACAGACATTACTATAATTACTACATTAAAAATTACTACAGGAATGCTACATGTCAGGATCAGTGCAATCTGGAAATCTCTAGAAAATCACAGGCTGCAAAGAGCTCTGTCCAACTTTGGCTTTCAGAGGCATTCAGTTCACCTCAAAATAATGTGTTTTTAAGAAAGCAAGACTACTTTTAAAATAAATGGTCATGCTTAAAGCATGCTGCAGTCCACATCCAGCCTAGGTTGGGGCAAATGGGACATGGTGGGCATGCAAAGATGCTCAGAGCCCTGTGACACTCTGCTTGGCTCTGGATAGGGGCACTCAGTGAGCAGGAGAGGAGCAGAGAGCACAGACGTGACCCACGGAGCTTGCAGCTCGAGCTGCCTGTGCCTCTGCATCACCACCAGGACATTGCACATACACTTGGCTCGCTCACCGCCAACTTGACCTCCCACTGAAGAAGGAAAATACACGCAGAGAAAGGCAGAAGGGCCTGGGGCTTCAGGAAGCATGAAAGCCTTGGGCATTCAGGTGGCCCTTTGGCAGATCATTAGGCTGCCAATTACTCTTGGGGTTGAGTTTTCTCCACCCTCGCTTGAAGAGCTGAAGTACCACGGAGCCTTTGCAAGCATGCAGCTGAACTGGGAAATCCAGTTCGAGAGCCAATAAGTGAGACAAAGGCACTAATAGTCCCAAAAAGAAGAAGGAAAAAAATCCACACACCAAGAAACACCTCCGGGGGAAAAAATACAAAACAACTCCCACAAATATTAGAAAGTTAAACCAAAAAAAAAGGTTGAGGTAGACAATCCACAGCGAGAGCTTTGTCAGAAGTTTCCATGTGCGTCAGTCACTCGATCCTGATGAACAGGATGGGTAGCACAACTGTATCTGTACAAGCATTTATACTAAATGGTGCATGGCCAGGTCTGCACGACACACAGGAGGTCTCCACCTTAAAGTCTTACCTTATATCGAAAACACCCTTTAGTCAGAAACTAACAGCAGAAATGTGTTCTTGTGACCGAATAGTTCATCAGTGCATTACAACGTTTGGCATCAAGTCAGCAAGCATTAGAATGATGTTAGACACATCACCATGGCAAGGCAGGAGTATCCTGCATGGTCCTCATTCCTTAACCCCATACCACAGCAGGGTAAAAATGCAGCAGGGTAAAACTCTGAAAGCCTGGAGATTTCTTCTTTATTGTTTTTTAAACTATATTTAATAATTTAAGATTGCTTAATACTTATAGAGGCTCTTCAGATATGCTATGCTCCAGAGTCTGTTCATTTTTTTTCAAATTTTGTAAAAGGGATTATTTCAGCCTACAAATGCCATCTTATTTAATATTGATCATAGAACCCATAAAGAGACATTTTTGGCATATAAGGCTACACTCCACTTTCTTTCTGGACTATTTTTTTCTCTTATCTTTTCTAAGCATCACCTCAACCCAAACTCATGCAGCATAAACCTAAAAGATGTTCTAACAATGTCCATTATAATGGAAAGATAATGACTTCTGACTACACATTTGGTTGCACATAATTAAAAGGTTAATGACAAAAAAAAAAAGCCTACCTCCTTTTTGGGAAACCTCGTTGGGAAGTGAAGCCATTCATATGCAGCTTTTCTGGTGATGCTGGGATCAAGTATCCTGATTTGACTAGATTTATATATCATGTTCAAAGCCGGTTTCTTCCAAAAGCCTTTAGCACTCTGCAACAGTCAAGCAAACACACATTTTCATTTTTTTTAAGTTATCTTGACTTTGCAGTTTTTCTAGATCTAAACCAAAGTGTAATCCAGGAACAGGAAGTTGAGGAGTAAAAGGAAAGCTGAACCTCCTGAATCTCAATAAATGCATACACCAAACTGTGTTCCTCCATAGACTAACTCCACACAACTGTACAGGCCTTGATGGACTACATGCACCAGTAGTGTGCCCTCAAGGCAATGAGGACTAATTGCATGGTTGGCCACATTAGCAAGAGCACAGCAAGCAGGTAGAGAGATGAGATCATTACTTAAGTACTCTGTCCAGCTGGGTCTCACAAGCACTGGTTTGGGCTCCCCAGCAAAAGAGATACAGGCAAACTGGGGCCAGTTGAGCAGAGGGCCACTAAAATGCCTTGGAGGCTGGAGCATGTGGCCTGCAAGATGGGATTGAGGAGGCTGCGCTTGTTCAGCCTGTCTTCAGTTAACTAGAAGGGGTAGAGAAGAGGCTGAGACAGGCTCTTCTCGGAGGTGCGCGGTGTGAAGGTGAGAAGTTCTACCCCACGAAGGTGGTGCACAGTGAAACAGGTGCCCCCTCAGAGAGGCCGTGGAAATATCCCTGGTGATATGCAAAACTTGCCCAGAGGAGGCCCTCAGCAACCCTATCTGGTTTTGAAGTTGGCTCCGTTTTGAGCATGGAGTAGGGCTAACAACCTGCAGAGGAAAACACCTTCCAATGTTATTCTATGATTCCACTGAGTGGAAGGGCTAGAGCATGTGCACCAGAATATGAAACAGTGCTAGGGGAAAAAAAAATTAAAAATACGTGTTTCTAGGAGGAAAACTGCTTTGGGGTTGGACTAGATGACCTCTAGAGGTCCCTTCCAACCTTAAGAATTCTATGATTCTATAATCTGAAACTGTGGGGCAAGAAAGAACATAGAAGCGTATCACAGGAAAGGGAAACTGAACAGACCGATTGGGAAATCTGCTGCTCCTCCCAGCTGGGGCAACTAAGGTTAAATGCTGAACAGATATATTACATGCAAGAGATATGTGTCAAGCCAAGCCAAAGTGCATAAATAATTAAACTCACTATTTTCTGACCACTTAATATCTCCCAAAGCCACTTTAAATCTCGTGTTTTGAAGACAATGAGAACAACAGTCGTATTGGGGTCATAGTGGACTGGATCCGAGAAGATGGATTCCGGATAAGAAAGGCGGAAAGTGGTCCTCCTCCCGACATCCTCTTCGTACCCTATAACAGGACCGTTATTCATTCTGCAGAGGACACACAGACACAGAGATGGCAGTGACTATACCACACACCCAGGCAGAGGTCTGGAAGGCCAACAGCACATGCAGGTACACAGGGGGTTCGTGGCGCAGCGTTTATCGCCTTACACGGTGGAGGAGTCATTAGGAGATGCTTCCTGCACTCGCCTACTGACTCAGAGGCATTAAACACACACGGGAAGCTGGCCGAGATGGTTTGGAATGCAATTACACGATGGCTTATCCCGTATCGCTCACGCAGGCAGCCTTCTGGCTTGGGCTCTAATGCAGAAACCGCAGAAGACTGAAGAGCTTCTGGCTTGGAGAATTATGGATTGTTCTGCTTATGCCTCCGGATGATCCAAACCGTTCAAGAGGCAATGCAGGAATGTTTTAATATTCTTCACTGTATACATGGGGGCAGAGATTATGGCTGTTTGCCTGATACAACTGTGTATGTGAATGCATGTATACACACATGTTTGTACAAATGTATGCGTATATATGAAAAAAAGTTGGACTATATGAAAAGATTTTAACTTATAGCTAATTGTATTTAAATGCATGACACTAATCTATACAAGGATTTCTATTTCATGAAGAATAAGTAGATCTGTAAGGAGATTTTGAATTCAAATGTTACAGCCAAATTAATAAATAATAATAATAATGCAAATAGCTTGTTTGCATTATTTCACTCTGAGGAAAAGTAGTGTGTTTTTTTACCTTCTTTTTGGAAAGCATAAAGCTGCCATGCACCTGAAGTTTTCTAAAGGGAAGATTTTATGTGGATCTCTATGTAGTTTCAAGTTTATAAGAGGAGCTACAACTGAAGAATTCCACTTTAGCTTATCAGCAGGTATTTAAAAGCATGTCTAATTCTAGGTTTTGTATACGGCTTTTTATGCTTCTGTTTGAATACTGAAACGGTATTATGAAACAGCACGACAACTGATGGCAAAGCAACCAAAACAAGGTTGACGCAATCTAGAAATGGAAAAACTGAAGTGGCAGCAGAAGAGTTCTAAAGAAAGGAGAGCTTAGGGTGCCAGGTATGCTACCTGGCAGGACACCTACAGGCAGGAGGGCCGTTTCATCACTTGCCATCTCAGTTTATGCAGAAGAGGAAGCATGTTTTTTCTTATTACACAGGAAACTCGTCTGGGATCAAGGGGCAAAGAGGACTTGAGGCTATCACATGCTCAGACTCATCTCTGATAACATCACCTTGCAGGTGCATATCTGTAGGCTAAGCAGGTTGCACACCACCCAGGGTTCATTTCTCCCTCATATCAGTCTATGTAATAAAACTGTTTTTTTTTTCTACGTTATTTTTAAATGAACCTATGAAAGATTAAATAACTAAAAAAAGAATCTTCCAGGAATTTTCATCCATTTTCATGTGTATTAATAACTGAACTGTCTGAAAACAAAGGCCATTCCCACATGCACAAAAATTAAAAGGATAAACATTATTACCTTATTATCACATCATATGAGTCAATTTTCTCTCCTAATGTCTTATTTCGAAGCACTCCTCCATTGCCAACCACAACACACCTTCGACAGGCAACACTGTAGACAGAACAGGCAGAACTTGAAAACCCACCATTTCACTTAGATCATTAATACCAATGTTGACACATTGACATTATGGGCATTTAGTTGATTTTACTGAACCATAAAAGCATATTTAAATGTGTCACTATGAAGGAAGTGCACGTTATTGAGAAATAAGCAGCGGGATATGCTTGATAAACAGCTGCATTCTCACACCACAAGATACAAATTAGACAGCATTACTAAGGATCTAAAGCACTTACAGGAAGCTATAAATTACATCTTATAATAAACCAAATCAAAATAACTAATCCTTTTGAATTTGGAAAATATATTTAGAATATACACACAGTTAAAATGCACATGGGAGTACTCTATAAATGAAAATGCTAAACATATGCAATGAAATTCTAATGTTAAAGTCCCCCAGTGAGCTGTCCCATGTCTTCTAGTTGTCTCCTTCACTCTATACTGCTTTATTGCAAAGCAAGCTAGTAAAACGTGCAAACAGGCTTGCTGCTGAGCTTACTCCAGATTTTTGCCTCTTCAGGGAAGTTTTACATCCAATATGAAAGACTGCAAACTCCTCCTTTCTACTACAAGCATTTTGGTTATAAAATGCATCTTGGCCAAGGAAAAATGTTGGTGTTCTGTCCAGGCACATTTGCAGTTTACTGAGCATGAATCCTCCCCAACATCCCACTCACAAGGCTCTTCGAACAAGAAAAGGGTTCCATGCTATTTCTTACCATAAGGGACCAAGAGACGAAGTAATAAAAACCACCAAAACCTATATTAAATGGGGAGAAGTGCCTTCCTTCTACTCTTCTAACAGCCACCAGTGATTTCCAAAGAAGAGCTGGGATGTCAGCTTCAAACCTGCTGCTCTAGAGGCACGTCTGCAGAGGCAGTTGCTTGCATTTCGTAAAGATTTTGTGATCAGCCTGTTAAGCATCTCTAAATTTATATGCACCTGTCCTACAAAATCCAGCACTGCTAAATGCAGTTCCTGGGGTGGGCCGAGATTTAAAAAAGCTAGCATGATTTCTGCAGTGTTTCCTCAAACAACTCTGTAAAAGCTAAATATTCATCAAAAGAATGTGAGCTAATGCCAAAATTTCATGAGATTTGGTGTCTCACAAATTAAGAGTACTAAAAACCTGTTGACCCCAGAACACCCACAAAATTCTCTTCTCTCTTCTCCAGGGTTGCTCCAGATTATTCATTTTCCAATTTTCCAGATTGTCAGTCTAGCTTCAAGATATCCTGAGCAAGTACACACATTAACATATACATCCTGGAACACTTATGGTGGGAGGAAGGGAAGATAAATAACCCTTTTTCTGAATTATGCTGCATTACTCACACCTATACACAGAGTTCAAAGCAAGACCCTGTCTCTATAAAAAAGCAACAGCAAAGGAAAGGGAAGGGAAAAAGGGAAAAAATGTGGACAAAAAGGGTAACCAGTAAGCGGTGAAGACAGAATGAGGGAGAGAGGTGAAAAACAGCCTCTCCCCCCTTATTGACTGATACAGTCAAGACTAGTTCATGACTTAAACAGTTGACTAATACTAATTGTGAGAAATACAATGAAACGCTTGACAAAGCTTTTAAATTCCAGCCCCCTTAACAGTTTTTAACTGGCTTGTTAGTGTCAACTGCCTTCAAATAACCAATAAAGCATCTATGATTGGTATGTGATCTTTTGAAACAGTATCAAAGTTGACAAGCAGATTAAATATACTTGACGTTGAACATAGTCAAACAAAGTAGAAAGACCCCCTTTTAATCTCTGTCAAGGTCAGGAAGTCAGATAGCGCCAACTCAAACAGGAAATCTCACATTAACGTGCTATTTCTGAATTATTCCTCTCCCCGGCCACGCACCCAGCCTCAGCTGTCTCTAGTTACAGTAGTTCAGCCTATGTCTGCAATAGCAGAGGTCCTGCCGGTGAAGATAAGCAGCAAGGGAAACTGTTTATGCTAGAAATGGATAACATTTCATTTACGCTTGTGGGCTACGTGTAACCACACCAAAAAAAAGAGACCATAATCTCAAGGAAACCTAGGTATGGAGATAAAGGATATATAGCAAGATCGGACTTCATTTAAAAGATATTTAAGTTAAACTGACACGTACTTACGGTAGCTCACAGAAATAAAACACACCGGTTTTCAGGAGACTCTTATTCCCAGAGTATTTTGCCAACCCCACTTCTCCAAGTTTCCTTTCTCATAACATTTCCTTATTTGAAAAACAAATAATCCTCACCCCTTCTTCAGATCAATTGGTAGGGAGAGAAATAAATTCAGAGGCTTTAAGCAACACAAAGTTTGCTATAAGTGAACTATAACAGAAAGAAGGTCCAGCTTACCAGCATAATATTAAAGAAGGGGAAAAAAAGTTAAGACTTTAGCTATAACAAGCAAAGAAGCATTCATAAGAAGTATAACTCTGCTGCCACCACGCAATTTAAATCAGGACCTGTACATACCCTAAATATATCTCAAAATCTAAACATAATCCCTTAGTCACTCCCTCAAACCTTTGCCCTGCGTGAAAGAGCCTCTTAATTAAAACGCCAAACATCATTTTGCTTATTGTGTTTATGGTGAAATACCAAAAGAAATGCTTTCCTGCTCATATAAAAGGAAGATAATGTTAAATGGAAACGTAGCCTTTAAAGGTCAAAAAGTTCACACCTCCCACATTCCACTGAAATACTGTTTCTTGGAGGGGAGTGTTGCGGAGGGAAGATCTGGACTTCAACTCTTTCAACACTCCCCATTCTCCAGTAGCCTCCTGAGGAATGCAAATTATTTTCTTTGCAGTTATTTGGTAAAAGAAGGATGCAGAGGTCACATCTCGTTGACTCACTATTGTGTAAATGCATCGGGGGGAATTTACTGCTGATAAGCTCAGAGTCCTAAGAGCTCCTGTCGAGCTCACAAGGAAACAGGGGGACTGGGAGTTCAATACGTATTTGATGGATCTACACCGCTACACAGGAAAAGCCTTCTCCTGCAAGCAATTCCACTGAATCAATGACACAATTCACTCCGGGAAGGTTTCCAAAGTTGTACTTTCACCCAGTAAGGATCCTATCTTACTTTGAAAACTTGCACCATTTTTGGAAAAAAAATAATCCTTTGTACTTTGCTGTGTAGCTTTATGAATGTTGCAAACAAATCCAGTTCATGCACAAATATTTGACATTCATGAAAATACTTCAAAGCATTTTCCCCCCACACACACACACTTAATAATAAGTTTACAGGAAAATTCAATGTATATTTCTATTCTGCCAACAAGATTAGGTTGCAGCAATACAGAACTGCTTAACAACAGAGCAACAGAATTACAGGAGAATTTTGCTAGGATTATTTCCACAGAGCTTCATATTGTTAAATCACTATTTCAGTTATGTGTTTATACGTCTATAGAAAAGTTCTTCCTTACTACAGCGATTCATGCCCTATCAATATTGTAGAAGTCTAATCATGGATTAAGAAGAATATCTCATATGAAGACATTGTACATTTGATTCATTTAAACAACTGCTTTTAATTAAATACTGAGTTCTCATTTTGCTTTTGCACTACTAAGGTATGTTACTTTCATTAAAAGGAAGCATTCCTCTCAGAAGCACTAAACATATCTGTGTCTTGAACAGAGAACCTACTTTCAAAGGGTGAGCAACAATCACCTTACTTTTGATCTACAGGAATTATTTATAAGATTTTATGTTGTACTATAAGGTTATTCACTTTGTAACCAAATTGATTATAGCACTGAACTTATGATGGCAGTGAATTTCCAGCACATTTGGCATTCTCTTTCTTCAAACCCCAAACTAGCCTGGTCTTTGTAGGCCACTTCTGTATAAACTTGCTGATTTTCACAGTCCTGACAGAGGGTAGTTCCTTGCTGTTTTTTTGCTTTGTTTTTAGCTTAATAAAAGTGAACTTATCAGAATAAGACACTAAACACAGGGAAAGGAAGCTGTAGAGGAGGTGAAGAAAATAGTAACTACTCCCTGCCCCTCTGCCCCCCCCCCTCAAAAAAAAACCCACTTGTGTTGGTCAGGAAAGCTGCATGTTAAAAACAAGATAAGTCCTATTATTTTGTTCATATTCCAACTAAGTTTAATTAAAATGTGAACCTTGCATTTGACCCGAGGCATAATGTTCTGTTTGATCTCCTTGATTAAAACAGCCAAGTACAGTCAGCCTCATCATTATTTGCATCCAGCTCTTAGGTATTCTGCCTATTAACATGATATATGGTAGGTTCTCAGTCCATGAGCTGCAAATCTAACAAGCCATTTGCATCGCTTGGTAAACACATCATCTTAGTATATTTGCCAACCTTACTGCCCTACCTACAAAAATAAATACATCAAAAGCCTGAAAGAAGTGGCTTCTATCCAAGAGATTTAAACAGGACAACGTAATAAATGGAAAGTGAGTTATCTAGGGCGTGCTCCGTTCTACGCTCTGTTCTGCACAGATAGAGCCACAAAGTGATGACTGCTCACTTGAGATGCTTTCTGAATAGACAGTTAAAGTAAGCTGGTTTACACAAATAATGGCTTTGAAAGAGGATACCTTAGACACTTTCAGTGGTGGTTTCATGCCCTTGAGCATAAATGGCACTGTGGTTATTAGCAAACTTTTAGGGCATTTAGAAAAAAAAAATTAAGTTTAACTTACCTCACAGAAAGATTATTCTCGTATGTTGGTGCTACATATGCTTAAAAACAAACTACTTCAAAACCTGTAACCAGTGGCACATTGCTTTACACCATAGATCAAATTCTCTACTTGTGAAACTCCAGGATGCTGTTTTTCATGAAGGTGTAAATTAAGTTTAACTTACCTCACAGAAAGATTATTCTCGTATGTTGGTGCTACATATGCTTAAAAACAAACTACTTCAAAACCTGTAACCAGTGGCACATTGCTTTACACCATAGATCAAATTCTCTACTTGTGAAACTCCAGGATGCTGTTTTTCAGGCAAGTACTGAGCATACTCAAAATGCAGGAACAAAAACAGCAGCAAACAAACCATCTCACCTGTCTTCTTCCTTACTCAGGCCACAATTTTGCAGTCTTGAAAGGGCTAAACGAAAGAATTGCTCTGGAAAGCAAAGAGGAGAGTGAAGATTTTAATGAAATACTCAGTGTTTCCCAGTTTAAAAAAAAGCCTGCCACCCTGACTACAGCATTTTTAGTAACTATTGTTTTTACACACTGTGCTTAAACAACTTAACTTGTAATTTAGGGCCGTACATGAATCAAGGATGTCAAAGGAATCCAGGTTTCTCATGGCTCCTTTCCAGGGAGTGTTGCCACCCTCATATTCCCTTGTGGGCAAAAACAATGGGATTTGTACCTAAAAGCTCCTGAGAAGTATGAGGGCTTTCCAAGACTCATGCCCTAATGGATTTTGATTTTGCCTTTTACTTGCCTTCAGCTGGAAGAGATGCAACCTTGACGCAGCCTCCTTCCCAGAGGAGGGCCTGCACAGCCTGGGCATGGGAACCACTTTAGCTGTCTTGAGGTAATTCACCTAAACAGCTTGTGATAACTGCAAAGCGGGACCGATGCATCTTGTCAGTCCTCCCTCAGTGCCTGTTTTGACACTTCTGTAGCTCTCATTGCAACAGGACTTGAGTGACTCCCTCTCAAATGTGGTTTTCCTGTTTGCAACCCCAGAGAGGCAGGAAAACGCACCATCCTCGACACACAGATGGAGGGCAAGGCAAGAGGCTAGTGCCCAGATGTGCAAGGGCAATAAAATGGCGCACAGCTCAGGGTTAAAAACTGAAGTCACTCGGGCTTTACAAGCTTTCTCGAAAGCACATCCGAAACTTTCAGAGTCTCTGTCCTAGACTAAATGGTGCCTGAGCGAGGCAAGCAGCAGTTACCACCAGGCAGGGCCTTGGTACGGGTGCAGCCGTGCGGTGGGACGGCGGGACTCTGCTCTGCAGCCTCAGTGACACCTCCCCTGACAAAAGGAGCCATCCTGGCCAAGGGAAACATTGCCGACCTCACTGCCTCCACCTGGGGACACTGCCACAGTCCTCATGGGGACGCCGGTCACCTTAGGTGTGTCGGGAGAACCCCAGGGCACTGACACAGCCAACGCTCCACGGAGCAGAGTGCTGGCTAAAGATCTTCAATACTCCAGCACAAATGCATGCAAACTGAATTTAAACTCCACTCACCCAATCTCCTGCCTTCTTCACTAAAAGCAGCATTTGGTTTGTTAAAAACAGGATCCAGATCAACTGGACTAAGTAAAACAAGTCGCTGGAAGGTCTCCCTCAAGGTCTGGCATCAGTGAACAGACAATACCAGGCCTAGGGATTCAGATGACCTAACTGCAATTTATGTATTTTCGCTTCAAATATGGGTACATACAGAATACAAACCTGCTCTCTTTATTCCATAAGGTAGTTCAAACTTTTCACTTCCATGGAACTCTGCCACTTTGATAAAGTCATTAGCACACAGGAATGGGTATATTTTGTCGACGCTAATAAAGGGAAAAAGGAAAGAAGTTTTTAAAATCCACATGACAAATATTAATATATTTAGAATATTATTACAGTATTATAATGTTATATTTATCATGTAAAATTTAGGTAGTGACTGAAGGATAAAAGGACTAATTCTCTGGTAGTACAAGTTATACAGATTCACTAAAGTCACATGCACTGAAGAAGTTGACACCATGAGGCAGAATACTGGAAAGAAGCTATAATCCAGTAACATAATCAGTAACAGCAAATAAAAATAATAATGATTAGGTGTGGTAATAATATAAAAAGAAATGGATTTGAAACAAGATGTTTTAATTGGAAAATATCTGGAGCACTTCAGCACAATCGAGAAGTGCTCCCATGCCAAACAAGTGGCACTTTACTGCTGTGTTAACATCAGTAAGTAGGTTGGGGCGAGAGGAGCAGATCCATATACCAAAACAACACAAGGGTGCCAAGTCCACATGGCAGGGATTTACTGGGGGCTGACTAGGCATGGTCCCATGGACTAAACACCCTGTAGCAGTTGCAGTACATCGGTTGTGCACTTGCCATGCACCTTTTGGCTTAGCTTTGTCTGGAAAGAAATCCAGCCCACATGCGCCACTCTGTGAGTGTCACATAGGAATCCTGGAATCATTATGGCTGGCAAAGACCTTTAAGATCAAGTCCCACCGTAAACCCATCCCCACCCTGCCTGCTAACCCATGTTCCTAAGCCCTCATCTCCACATTTCTTTAAAACTGCCCCCCGCTCCCCGGGGCAGCCTGTTCCAGTGCTTCATCACTCTTTCCATGCAGAAATTTTTCTTAATGTCTAACTTGAATCTCTCCTGGCACAACTTGAGGCCATTTGCTCTTGTCCTATCAGTAGTTACTTTAGAGAAGAGATCGACAACCTCTTCACTACAACCTCCTTTCAGGTAGTTGTAGAGAGCACTAAGGTCTCCCCGAGCCTCTTCTCCACACTAAATAACCACAGCTCCCTCAGCCGCTCCTCGTAAGGTCTGTGCTCCAGCCCCTTCCCCAGCTTCATGCCCCTTCTCTGGACACGCTCCAGCACCTCCATGTCCTTCTTGCAGTGAGGGGCCCAAAACTGAACACAGGATTCAAGGTGCGGACTCACCAGAGTTGAGCACAGGGGGACAATCATGTCCCTGGTCCTGCTGGCTACACAGCTCCTGATACCAGCTAGGAGATTGTGTGCCTTCTTGGCCACCATCATGAGGAGATATGCCTCCAAAGGGCATTCTTCCTGCAAACTGACGCCCCAACACATCACACTTCCAATGTGTCACGATAGAACAAGTCACTTGTTCCTGGCAAAGGCAGTGACCATGGCCAAGGGTTATTTCGCGCTGAGGAAGGGAGTCTATCTGCCAAGTGCACCGAACGAGCAGTGGCAGACCCTGTCCTGTCACGCGCTACTGTGCCCTTGGCTTCACCTCATACTTAAGGCCACAGACGCTCGCTGAAGCGGCTGGCTGCACTCATCCTGCAAACTGTGCCTTATATTAAAATGCTGACATACAAGTGTGCAGTCACAAGGAGAAAGCCTAGACTGTTGACCATAAACACGCACACAACCAGAACATGACTTGTTGCTCCATTAAGAATACTGAGAGCTGCAAAAGAAATAACCTCACCCTCTCGGTTTCACAAATCAAATGCCTCACTCATTCAGCTCCACATAGTTAGAAGATACCAACAGCAAAAGAGAATCAAGAACAGGGCTTTAGGTTAACAAAAAGAGATCTCCTAACTTCCTGAGACACCGCACTAAACATCCTTATTAAATTTAATAGCGTGCCTTGCTGTTGAGAGGCAGCTGGTAGGCTTAGCTGTAGTAAATAATTAATGCACTGCAAAAGAATTCTTAATTCTAACTCTGTTTCCTTTCCAATAAATAATTCTGCCAGGCTAGAAATCCTTTCAGCCGCCCCAGGCTATTACCAAAGTGCACAGACCAGCTCTTCAGCTCAGGCAAACTACCCCTCATGCTAATAGACATGAGACACACTCAGCCCTGGCTCGGTACCTACCTTCTCCTTGCTGTTCATCTTCAAGACCTTTCCTGCTCCCCTGCAGGGGAGCAGGGCTACCCTGGTACACCTGACAAGGAGCCAGAGTGGGCCCCTCCTGTGAGCAAAAGGGCTAGTGTCACCCCTGTGAGCTAAGCAGCTAACCAAAACCAGGGGATGAGGGCAACAGAGGACCACTCTGGGAGAAGAGAGACCAGAAGAGATCCTTGTGCCTTTGCTGAAATAGTAACAACAGTGAACCAAAGTCTTGCTCTCTTGTAGAAATAAGCACAGAAGAAATGGTGCCTTTGCTTAAAATTGAGGTCTCCTTTAGCCAGGACGTGGTCTAAATGTCTCCCCAAGCCTTCCTCAAGGTCATGTTTGCTCAGATAAAATACAAAGCCCACAACAGAGCCTGCCCGCTTCTGTTCCTGCGGCACTCCCTTGATCTCTTTTATCTAATACATATGCTTCTAATTCGGAAAATTCCCAGCATTTCCCCACACACATCTTGGAGGCACATCTGTGACCAAGCATCTTCTATATTTCGTGTAGAAATTCTTATTTTTTTCCAGTTTCCTGCTTCTTTAAGAAGGTTGCTTTCTACAAATACCTTAAAGCAGAGGACATCCAAAACACATAATTCAACAGTGCTATCAAAAAAGCAAACCATGGACAATCTCAAATGTTGATTCATTAAGAAGGAGAACGGGGGGATATCTTATTTCATTAAAGCCTGCGTGTATTCGAACATATTAATGCTCCTTTTCAGACAAACTGAAAAGACTTCAAGAACTTCTCTGGTCTCTGGCTGCTACAGAAATGCTTAGCTATCAAAACATCTTAAGCTTGTAATTCCAAGCTCAATGACAAAATGACTGAGTTGCAGCCATTGTCATTAAGGCTTCTTTTACAATAAAAGAAAGGGTGGAGGATTAAGGCTTGTATTTTAACCAAGAAAATAGTTTCACTGTTACTAGTTATCATATCTGCAGACAAAATATTTGTTTATTCACTGCGTACGCATTATGTCAAGCTAGTTGTATTGCCCATGTGTAGAAGAATGGCAAGCTGAACAATTTGTGTTGCCAGAACCAAGAAAAGCAGCAATGAACCCACGCCTAAGATCCGTGCTTCCTGAAGTGAATCCAAGTGTGAAATAGTCCAGGACGTGTAAACACTCAATAGTTCTCCTTAAATTGACACAACCTTCTTCCCACCTTCTCACACAGGACTCACCCCAGCAAAGATTCAAAAGCTGGTTTCAGGAGACAAGTGTCTAGATCATTCTTTCTTTCCACAGCTGTGGGTGGCAGTCTGCAAGAGAAGGATTTCAAAGAAATGGCAAGAACAGAAACACAGAACATCAAGCAGCTGGAGGAACTTGGACAAACAAAAGTAGCAAGCTGGCTACTGAGTTACCACCCAGACAAATTTTTATGATTGCCTTTGTATTGCGAAGACAGACTTTCCTAGTTGCAGGCTCTTTTTACTAGCAAGGCTTTTAATTTCACAGTGCTGCTCCAAGGGGTTTGTGCTTTTCCTTGCCGTGCAGCTACCACGGCAGATGAAGCCAGCAGTTAGATGTGGGGGCCACCACCAGAGAAGCCTTGTGGTGATCCAGCCTGCAGCCCTACCAGACACAGGTCACGGGCTCCTCCGAGATGAGGCCTGGGCGCTCTCTGGAGAAGAGAGTGGAGAGCACCCCACAGCACACTTTGAAGAAAGTGAGATGCTTTGGGGCTAAGTCACTCCTCTCATAACCAGGCCAGAGGGCTAAGACTTAGGCTTCTAGGCACATTCCTGCCTTAGTGCTTTAGCTCATTTAAGAACAAACACAGAGCCTGGGAGGGAGGGTAAAGTTCAGTTTGAGCAACACTTGCATCTGGGCCGCATTAAGAGCAGAAGGATGAAACCACTGCATTAAGAGCCACAAGCCAAACAGGCCATTAAGGTTAATTGATTTTGTAACCTCAACTTGTCATGTGAATATTGACACCAAGAAAGCACCCTGGGAAATGTATCAGCCGGTCAGCTAATTGTTTGCTAGCAACAGCCTCACAAATAGCACTGCTTCAGAGAGAATGAAGGCCTGCATGAAGTTCTAGCATAGATGCTCATTAGTCCCTCAGACCTAATTGCAGGACTTTACTGGAGCAACATCTGCTCATACAAGCATTTGCACATGGCAAGCAAGTGGAACACACCTCTGATTTATTCTGTTTTAAGCACAAACTTTGTCCTTATAGTCTTGCTAATTTAGTTCAGGCTGCACCTCGGAAACGCAGACCTTTGGAGACTGGTAACAGATGTCCTTCCAACAGATCATTGCTTTTCACAGACAGCCACTGTAAGCAGCTGCAATATTAGCCCAACACTGGACACGACAGGGACAAATTCCCTTCTGCTAAACATGTTACAGCTGCGTACATAACAGAAATGGTCAGTGCACATGGCTGCATAATGAGCAGAAAGCCTCAGGATAATGGGTGTAGATTTTAGTGTCAATCCTTCCCCCCTGCCCAAAAACCAACCACAACACACACATTATATATACATACACACACACACACATATATATAAAGCACTCAACTGTTGAACTTACTGAGTAATTCCAGTAGCCTCATAGGAAGAAGGAGCCCTCACAGAAGAAGTCTGTCCATAAAAGCTAATCCTGCGAGAGTGAAACACAGTAATGCTGAGTTTTGCTATGAGCTGTAGCCAACATGGACAGCCTTTCATATCAGTCATATGAGACAAATAAAGGCAAATCAATCACTCATTTTAAAAGCTATCAGTATTACCTTCACAGTGCAAACACACTGTCAGCCTTGATTTGCAAAGGTCTGCAAAATGAATTCTCAGCTTCTTAGATAAGCACCTTGAATTTTTAGGTCCCAAATAGCCTATTCTGCAGGCACTGGAGACAGCCAAGTCTCACCTCCCAGCAATTTGCCTCAATGAGTTTCAGCATTTCAGAAGGTACCAGTTCCACCTGCAGATACTCCCATGCATGAGGCAGGTCTCTCCCAAGCTGATTATTAGACACCTAAGGGAGGGAGCTCACAGTAAACGCTCTGAGACAGGGAGCAGGGAGTCACACAGGTAAAATCTCTCTCCTCACCTGGACTCCCGTTTTCAGGAAATTCAGAGGAACATCCTATCTTTGAGCTCCCAGCTTCTCCATGAGACCAACTCAAATTGGCTGCTGAGTTTAAAACTTGCATAAGAGAAGGGGGGAACAATTTCAGAGCAGCACAACTCCATTCATTCTTCACAGTGCAAAACAAACCCCACAGCAGTAATCAGTCCTAGCAAACATACTCATAACACATTGACTAGGGGCCACAGACATCACACAGACATGAGGGTATGAGCACTAGAAGTGAAAGAAACATCCTCTTACCAGTAGAGGTTATTCCTCCACAAATTTCCATGAAGTATGCCGTACATAACAGCAGCAGCCAGGATAAAAAACAGAAGGATTCGTTTCATGACTGGTAGACCTGAAACAGAAGAAAAATAAAACAGGAAATGTAAATGAAGGTTATGATTTTGAAGTGAGCTTTCGTAAGACATCTTTGGACCTAGGAAAGGAAATCACTGCTATGACAGCCAGTCTCCCCCGCCACAATTGGGACTGGGGATCACTCTTATGCTGGGTCCCTGTGACAGGAGCTGAACACCACACTCCTCCACACCTCATGCATGTGCACATGCTGCATAACAGAAATACTAACCAAGGCTTGCTTTGGGTTCCTTCTGGAGTTGCTGGAGAAACAGGCTCTTGCAGAGGCACAGGCTAGGAAACCCTTTCTATCCACTGGCAGCCCAAAGTAACTCGTGTCTTTGGTCACAAGTTGGCCTTTCGGGCCACCCAGTCTCTGATTCCCACACAGACCTCACGGCCATGTGAGAAAGAGGAGCCAGGACCCAGCCTGTGGAAAGCGCTTAAGAACCTACCGACTTCTGGAGAAACAACAGAGAGAGTGTTTGTTTTTCAAACAGAGCTTTCACCTTCTTGCACAGCTTAATAAAACAAAACCAGGGAAACGCTGAGCTGCTGCATCTGGCACAACCTGCTGAGGGAAAAGTAACAGGTTTGCGCTGCTCTCATCTAACACACTGAGCTGCCCTTTCAGTAGCTATGAATGAACTGCTGTTACTTAACCTTCCAAAAGTCCAAAATAGCCATTCTGGCCACAAATTACTGTGGAAATTTACTAGAGAGCTATATCCAGCCATTATTTTCATTCCTCTCCCCATGTGGCAAGCGACTCCGCTAGGAGCATGCAATCCATGTTCACCTACCTGCACACCCATATTTTTCAAGAGAAGGTAACAAGCAGTTCTCCAGCAGAAGTAAGTGCCCATGAGAACACGTGTACTGCTCATTTTTCCAAGATAAAGGCCTTTGAGGTTATGTCTCCTTTTTTTTTTTTTTGGTTGAGTGAGTGGCTGGGTTTTGCTTTTTCTTTTCTTTAATTCCATATGGCTTTTAGAATATTTAGAGTTACTGTCATTTTACACCTGCAGGAAAACAGACAGCCTTACAGCATCACAACCCAGTCTTCAAGGCAGACAGAGCACATGATTTACAGCACTGTGCTTTACACTGACAGCATCTTAACACCATCCCTTCCATTAACGACCAAGAAATAACCGCAGCAGAGAGCTGCATTTTGTTAAAGTCATGAGGCAAACTACTGCAGCTCCCATATGCTTCCGCCCTATAGAAATATCTAATAGTGTCTCTGCCGATAGCCGTTTGCCATAATGAGCTGTGCGCAAGAAGCCAACCACTTCCGGATGTTTGGTTTTTGTTTTGATTTTTTCTCAATATCCTTCACAGAAATTTAATTGTAGGATCAGACTGGGGTTTGGTAACATCCTCTACCAGTACCAAAGCCACACAACAGATAAGCTAGAATCTGTTGATTTTAAGGATAGCAGTTCAGACTGTCTGCTGCATTGGAGTGAAATATGTATATGGGGCAACTATTCCAGCTTCAATTTTCGTCCTTCCTTGGGAAACGACAACATCTCTCTTGCAGCTTGAACTCTCTTGATTCCTCACTGCAATTTTTTGATAGCCATTCTCTACTTTCAAAGCAAATCATGAATGTTTGCAATAACTGTGTAAAGGTTTTCTTCCCTAAAACCTCACGAACATTACAAATAACCCACCTATAAGCCTGGTCAAGTGTCAGCAGCTGGCCAATTCACATGAGACACTGCTTTCCTTGGTTTTTCATTTTACTGTCAATGTTCTACTTCACAAAAGATTTCTAAAATACCACGCGCTGCTGCACAAATGTAGAAGTGTAAAAGTTGCATTGACTGAATTAGGGAGTCAAATGGAGACAGTCTATGTTTTATTCCCTAACTCAATGTAAATTTCAGTTAAATCAACAGAAGACAACGATCAGCTCTTCAGATAACGCTGTTAAACTACCATCTTACACTGAAGGCAGGTAAAAAAAATCAGTAATTTAATCAGTTGCCAAAGCAAAGCTTCACTAAGAGAATCCTGCCAAAGAGTCAGACCAAGCTAAGAAGAAAAAAGATTAAGAAAGACAAACAAAGCAAAAACCCTATCTTTTCAAAAAGAAGAGAGAGGAAAAAAAAAAAAAGGAAGTTTTCCTCATCTCTGCTGTGGCAAGGTATTTACCAAACTATTCACTGTGCTTGCAAAAGCAATCATAGCCTTTAATGAAATATTCAGTTTGGCACACACATGCTAGCACAACTAATCTAGCTAACAGGGCCAACACTGTTGTATTGCACACAAATGGGTGAGCGCCTTCTCACTATCTCATCGCCCAGTTCTGGCTACGTGTGGAGTTTGAAGAGAAGAGCTTGGCAGCGATGCAAGATGCTCGTTTCAGTAAAGGCTCTTCTTTACACCCGTTTTAATAAACAGATCTATTACTTGTTTACAGAAGAAACTAGGCGTGGGTTCTTACCAGTGACAGCTTTTCCAGCTCTCCCTTCTCTAAAATTAGCCGAAAAGCATAGGAAACTAATTAAATGAAAATATGAACTCCTACGATGCAAATTCCCGTACTTAGAGCGGCAAGAAAATGAGCAATTGAGAAGACGGGGTCGAGACACAAAATGACAGTGACACATTGGCTTATTTAACAGAACGCAAACGCCAGCATCTTGCTCTAAGCTCGGGAGCCTCACAGACAGAGCTCCCGGGGCTGTTGGGCCAAGGTCCATCAATTTATCCTGGTCCTTCTGCTGCGGGAAGGGCTCTGCCTCTCTCTGCCCTTCACCTTGCACAGGGGGCTGAAGTCCCCCGGCTACAGGACAAAAACCGCCTGGCTGGAGGTAGCGGCTGGTGGCTTGGGCAATCGCCAACCGCACTGGAATCACCTTTTTTCTTCTCCTAACGCTTGTCGGCCTCCCCTTTGCCTCTCAAGCTTAAAATTGGATTGTTAGTAACACAATGGAGGAGGTTTTGCCATCTGTCCTATTTATTTAGTAAAGTGCCTGCGATTACTACTAAGGTAAATATTTAACTCAAAAGGGGTGATTACTAAATTAAATGCTACTCATCTTACAACAATTTCAGCTCCGAACCTATTCTTGGGACAGGTTTTCTTCAACTTTCTGCTGCTGCCAACTAGGTGGCCGCATGAAAATTTCATCTCACTCTCAGTCCTTATGGTTGTGGGGATGAATGGGAAGGGAGCTTGAAAATGTGCTTTGAGCAGGCCTTTAAATTTTAAAGGGTCAGGGGAGAAAATAAACAAACAAACAAAAACCTTCTAAAAAGTTGTTTTAAAGAATCACATGAATTTTAAGGTATGTTTACTTTTTTGTAGGACTGCAGTAGCGATTGCCGATCCTGTGAAACTGCTTCCTCCTGCTGCAGGCGCAGCGCGTGTCCTGTGGCACGGCCGCACCGCAGCACGAGAAGCAGAAGTGAGCCTCAATGTCAGGACTTTTCTCGAGTTAAGTTGCCAAAACACGGGCCCAGCCCTGGTGCGTCGCTGACTTTCCCAGTGTTGTTTTTCCAAGAAGGAAATGCTGAATCTGGCAGTACAAGAGCACTGCAGTAGAACCTTAACTATATTGAAGTGATGAAGTCATTCTTTGCCTTCTCCTTTCACCTTTTCCAGAAAGTTTTTCATCATTTATGATGCTGCTTTCAATGTTTGTTTACTAAGAAACAGAAGTCCTCAGAAATATTAAAATTTAATGAGGAAGGTAGATAGCTAGTGAAGTGAATTAAAACTGTGTTTCCGTGATGCTGCGAACAGTGATTTGCTTAGGAAGCGGTAACTTAATAGCTCCCTGAGTAGAAAAGATTTCTTTACAACCTGCCCTCTGGCCACATACAGGTCATGAAGTAGTTATTCTTGTTCATGAAACTAAGGTTTTGCTTTGACCAAAAGGCATCAGGAACTCCCACCTTCACACACCGTGCAATATCACAAAGTAATGTCAAAGATAAAACATGTTTTTGACAATATTTAAAGATTTCTTGTACATTCAAAAATGATTTTTAGACTTTCTGTATCTGCAATGTATCTGAACCTAGTGCCTGTAAATGATGAAGTGACAAGGTGGAAAGAGATGGTCGTAGTGAAGAACTTCTCGACTCTACAAGCTGGAACCTCCTTTCCTTCTAACAGCGTATGGAACTAGCCATTCACTAGCAATTTTCTTACAGCAGTACATTTCTTATTTTGTGGGGAATACACTGTTACTTTACTGTTTGTGCCTTTTGACCCCAGACACTAACATTTCGCTCTCATCAGAGCATGGCTGGTAGCTGGGTCGTCGAGGAGGAAAAGCAGCTTCCGTCGTCCCCACAGCCCAGTGCCCTCTCGCTCTGCTTCTGTCCCCAGCCTGCAGGGGCAGGTGCATCAATTCGCTTCTCTTCTTGTGTGACTCTCCAAAACAAACCTATTTATAAGGCCAGAAAGTCTTCCCAGGCAGCCATGTCCTCTGCCTAAGAGGTATCGATAAATAGTTCAAGTCTGGTCAACAAACACATCGCCATCTCACCCCCTTCAATCTCAGTTCATGTGGTGGAAGAAGAAAGCCACCTTGCTCCAGAAAGCCCCAAGACTGGCATGGTTCATCTCAGTGTCTTGGGCTCAACAGACAATGCCAGCACCTTCTCCCCTCCAAACCCTCATCTCCAGCCCTGCTCTTCAGCCTCATTCCCGCTGAGCACAAGGAGCTGGGCACAGCAGCTCCTTGTCCTGGCCAAGTCTTTGGCTCAAGTCCTTTCAGTGCTCCCTGCTCCCTTGTCCTTTTCTCTTCCTCACCCAGTCCAACACAACCTGCTCAGTGGTTGTGAATTCTCACTTCTCTTCCCTCTGCCTGGGCACCCAGCAGCTTTTACACATGCCCTGTAGCGGGGGGAGGAACAAAAAACAATAAAAAGGAATGTGCCAAAATAATAAAAAAAAAGTCTGCACGCACTCTGCAGACTGTTATTTGGATAGCAAGATGACACAGGAATGCAAGCCTGTGTCGGCT